TTTCTTTTTTGTTTGTTTGTTTTGTGGTGAGTTTGTTTTCTAAACTTCTGTTCCCATGGTCTAGAATGAACTTTGAACTTTTGACTGCTGACAAGTTGTCCATTTTAGGCACACAGAGCCTCTGAAAGCTGGTGTTCTGCTGCCCTCTGTAGACCCTTTAAATGCCATATGATAGTACTGATCACATGCTCCACTTTGACTTCCACCTCTCGTGTGGGACTCATTATTACTTGTAGTGCGTATGCGCGAAAGCTGCATGCTGCGTTACGTTGCTCAGTGTAATATATTTTCCCCCGATTATTGAAGAGTATTTCTGATTCTGATTCTGATTACAACTTGTTCATTAATACTGTCAGCCTGCTGACAGGAGCTCATACTGGCACCCACAGTGCTTTGTACCAGAAATGTAACAAACACAAACACACAGGAGATGGCTTTAACATCTGGGTTGAATCTGATTGGATGGAACTGTATTGATTCCTTTCACAGGAGCAGATGTCAGCATAGATAAGTAAACAATTCAAGATCATAACTCCTCTATGCACAGGTTGCCATTTGAGCATGATGAACATAATAAAGCCAAATGTTAAAATCACATAACAAAAAGAAGGGAAGAAAATCAAATAGAGTTAATTTTGTATCTAAAATAAGATAATACTATCCAGTAAAACAAACCACCAACTCATCATATCCATCCAAAGCAAGAAGTGGGTGGTCACAATCCACCGGGTCTGAACGAAAACAACCAATCAGAGCCGAGAAAAGATAGAAAGACGCTTTGGGTTGGGAGCTTGAAGGTAGAGTCTCATTCCCAGCAAGAATATTTGATGACCTGGGTATCCAAAAGCCTAATATCCTAAACTGACTTTAAACATGTGAATTTTAAAAACAATGAAAACATGTCACAACTCTACCTTGCTCCCAGAAGCTGTTCATGTATAGAGAGAAATAAAACCCCTCAGTCCCAACACAGTTGATTATTCTGATTTAGAAATGTCACTGTTTTGCATTTGTGTTGTAAGACTCTAAAAATCACAGTACGTGTACAAAGTAAAGTCAGTCCCACATGGTCTCCACCATGGCAGAAAGAAGACAGAGCATATGATTAGGGTTTATGTTGATTATAGTTTACTGCCAGGCACCAGAATCACCACAGAGGCTGTGGCACAGGGACAACTGCCAGGGACAATGTCCAGCAGGTGCTGCAGTAGTTCTTATGGGCCATAGATTAGAACACAAACCTTCTTGCAACTTCATTTCCATATTTTTTAGGTCAGGAGGTGCAAAATGATGGGTGGCTGGATCCCAGTGCTGACCCTGCTTTCTTTAAATAATGATAGGTATGTTTCCTGCCTGTGATCAGGTTAGGAAGTGTGTCCCATAATTACCTAAATGACCAGCCCGTACCAAACGTGGATGGGGTTGAAATCTGATCTGAGGTCAGTTAAGTTCTTCCACAACAAACTGGAGAACCATTTCACAGGGTTAGGGTTATGTTGAAAAAGGGAATGATCAAACATAAACTGTTGCTACAAAGATGGAAGCACACTGCTGTCCAAAATATCAACTTTGATGGCCAAGTATGTCGAGACATACAAGGAAGGTTCTCAGCAGATTTCAATCTACTTACACACAGATTGTTTATCTGCACTGTACTCGAAGTGTTGGTAAAGGTAGTGCAAAGAATGCTGGAATAAATGTGTGGATAATGACTCACTCTATAACCGCTAGAAGGAAGGAAAATCGCAATTGGTTCTGGTTGCTTTATACATGTTCATTAATACAATCCTTTTTTAAGACCTGTGAAATTCATACTTAAGGTATTTTAAGGCCTAAAATTCAGATTATTGTATTTTAGACCATTTAAGACCCGGTACAGAGGTGCTTGTATTTGCTTATATTGAGTTACTTATAGTTACCTACTTGTGTGTGGTTGTTTTGGCATGGGTTTGTTTGATAGTGCCTAGAGGGGAGTCTGCTGTGGTTAAGTCTATATTCATTTGACATAAATTCTTTATTATTACTCATTGTGTAATTTTATGATTTAAACAAATAGGCTGCATGTACATGATTGAAGGCAGCACTTCAGAAAATCAACAATGCTGTAAAATCACAAGTTGCAATGTACACGATTGTGGCCAGAGTGTACTCTAATGTGCAATACTCTTGTTTACACTGTCATTAATACTGAAATTACACTGTTCTGTTTATTCAGTAGCACACCAGTTCTCGGCATTATTAGTAGTCATTACTGTTGTTATATATTGTGGTATACATCATGCATTCATTTATTTATTTATTATACACATTTTTGGGGGCGGCTTTTATTTCCTTTAAATGATAGAGAGTCAGCTGTAGAGTGACAGGGAAGGGGGGAGAGAGAGGAGGACGACATGCAGCAAAAGGCCAGAGTTGAACCCATGGCCGCTGCAGCAACGACCAGGCCAGCTCTACCAGGTGAGCCACCAAGGCGCCCCAGTATACATATTTTGTCTTATTTTTTACTAACTATAACTGTTGTTATATATTGTAATATAATGCACATATATTTTAACATGTGTCCAGCTGCTGGACTCATTGTTTATATTATTTATATTGCTTAGCATTTCTTTGTTTAGCAACTTGAGCAACTGTAAGGCAACTAATCTCCTTACCTACTACTGAAACTGTTGAACAGTTACAATCCGTCAAACCATGTCTAGTTATTACTGTCAAAGTTCCATTCCATCATGATTACATTGTAATGAAGAAGTATATACTGATCCGTCTGCACAGCATCACACTGGAATAACAATGTAGATGAGCACAGAGTGGATGTTCATAGTGACAGATGATCGATCTCAAGGAAGTTTTTATGGCATGCTGAAATGAATAAGACAGTGTTGTGTCTTGTCAAATGCTCTGTTAGGATGTAAGAATGTAATCTATCCTCAGTGAGAGGATGTGGCTGTCATGGATCTATTGGCTTTGACATATCAAAGATGGAGTCAGGTGATGTGATTGGCTGCTGACAGTCTCTGAGCCCCTTGTGATTTCTCTTCTGATGCATCAAACTAACAGGCTGCCAGGATCATCCGTCTGATCTACTTCCCAGTCTGCGCCTTCAAGGAGGGCAGGTGTTCATCTACCTGTTAGACCAGCTTTCATTCACATTTTACAGTTAAATCAGCAGAAACTGCCCGTCAGGGTCATTTTAGGGTGTCATTTACAGCACCTCCACTATTAGGATGCATTTACATATTCTTTGCAGTCAAACACTATTATCTCTAAGTACATCGCGGTCCTTTCAAGCAACACTTTCCCTCTTGAAGCCATGTTACAGGGGGGCGTTTTCACTGAATTTTCCCTCTACTGAATTTTTCCCCTTTGCAGCATCAGTAGCACAGAGCCAGCCTCCGACCAGACTACGCTGTTCCTGCTTGCTCTGTGTGTGTGTGTGTTTTTTCCTAAGGTTGGGAAGCAAGATTACGCACAAGGACAGCAAATAAACAGAACCAAAACAAAGCGCGCCGTCTTTCACCGTGTGGACGTCCGTCTGTGTTCCGTGCAGGAGCATCTCTGACCCGCGCTAAACGAGGACTAAACAGGTACAAACTTGGAGGGTTTCTCCATTTTTCATGCCTCGGCGCATATCCGGATTTACGGGGACGCTGTTACTTTCCATGTCTGATGTGATTACACACATGCGGAGGATTGGAGGCGACATTGGAAGAGAAGGGGGCGGGCGGGGGCTACTTTAAAGAAATGGGTCGTTGTGTGTGTCTGTTGTACAATAACGCCTGAGTGCCCCGCGGAATGTGTAACGTTACAAATAATTTGGTTAAGCTAGCTAAACGAAGCCGACTTGACATAGCTAACCTTAACCCTTATGTTTCCCCTGCTAAATTAGCGTTAATAAATAAAAACACTTCTCGTGCGCGCTAGCGTCGCCTGTCAGGCTTTAATACAATTTAAATAACCTAGAAGTCCCAGTTTAACGTCTGCGTAGCTACGCTAGGTTCGGTACAGTAACGTTAGCCGACACGGCCGCGGTCACATTCCCGTCTTTTTCCACTCGGCTCGTGCGCCGAACATTGCACGCACACATCATATCCCTCCACCTTCGGAGCCAGCGGTGACTCTGTGTTAATTAGTGCGTACATGTAAATGATGTGCGAGGTCTCCGGCGTCGCTGCTGCAGGCCGCAGCCGCTCACACTGCTCTCTGCTGGGGCTTGTTTACATGGAAACGTCGGTAGTTTGGGTGGGGGGGGCGGGTTAACCTTTCCCCCGTAACATCCTCCGTCAACATACGGTTTAAAGAAAAAAAAGAAAAAGGCTACAGGTCTTCTTTATGACAACCTATATTCAAGTAGTGGACGTGACGTATGTTGTTTCTCTACTGTTATAACACAACAACAACAATTAGTCAACACTCATTATGCTACTATGTTAAATCACTTTCTCAGAAAGGCTGTCAAGCTCAGCCGGAGACACAGGGGCGGACCTAGAGGAATATTTGGAATCAGAGGGTGGCGGGGAGACTTTAAACAGTGACAGAAATATCTGCTGATATAATCAATCACATATATCAATATATGTTCAGAACAAAACCCAAATGAAGATATTTGAACTCAGAAACATTATTGTGGCACCTTAGTAAAAACACTGAATAGATATATCTAAAGATGACATTAGAAATCAATACAAAAGACATCTTTTGTCACTTAGTCTAAAATGTGGCTAGAATAAATCACTAAATAACATGTTAAATTCATTTTAAACAATATAAATTAATGTGTTGAATTTGACAGCATTTAACACCAAACTGGACCAGGCCAGACATTTTTCAGGGTTGGCAGCTGCCACCCCATGCTTAGATCCACGCCTGCAGAGACATCCGCACTGTGGGTGTGTTTGATGCTTCATTGAGTGTTTCCTATGGAAACAGATTCCCCTGGTCTTTCTCGCTCAGCCGTGCGTGTTAGAGGTTGTCTGTTCTCCACTTCGAACTGATACCTGACTGAGTTCATCATCTGTTACATTGAGTTTATTTACAGTAGAAAGGATTTATCGTTGGGAAGGTCGTAGGGGTCCACAGAAAAATGGGGAATATTGTAAAGTTAGGCCTGATCATACAGTATGGGTATCGGGTGCTGATACTGATGTAAATCACTGTAAATATCGGTATCGGAACGATGTCATATATCTATGTACCAATCCAGATTCCATGGTCTGATGTTTTATGAATTATAAATATGTAATAATACAATTTGAAATCCATAGACAAAATGTTGTTCCGAAAATGGATTAATTAGTAATCAAACAGTAGGTGGTTTCGGAACTGAAAACAGGTGGATTAGCACATCTCCAGAAATTTTTTATTTTACAATTATTTCATTGACAATAAGTTAGCCCAATCTACAGTACAGGCAGTTATGGAATAACTAAATCTTATCAGACGGACATCAGTTTGGGGTCCATGACACCGGAAGGTTGAGAAGCACTGATTTATGTTGCCTTTGATATAGTGCAAAAAGGTTTAAAAACATGCAAATATCAGTTCAAGTTACAAGTGTCTTTGGTTAGTGTAATTCATCCCTCATAAATATTTATAAAGCCATATTTATGTACACTTGAGTGAACAGTTTAATTATTATCCAATAATCAATTTATTGTCCTAGCAGAGGGGTTTATGGAAAAGTAGTTAATTTCCTTTATTATTGGCACTTAACAATTTCACTGGTGTACAGCACTCTGGCTTTATGTGTTTGGCAATTACACTAAGACATTATAAAAGGGTCAGTTCACCTTCATTACAGAAAGTTGGCCAAAATAAACTATGCTGACAGTTTGTCCAGGTTTTAAAATTAACTTTAATTTAAAAAGTTGTCTGCAGTTTTAAGAGGAAGTACTTTCGACAGAAGAAATAGTCCCTATGAAAACTTGTCTCCAGTGTGTTCTGTGGATACGGGGTGCTGTTTCTGGGAAGAGATGTTCCTGAAAGACATTTAAAATGTAATTTTCAATGCAATGACCACTATAAAAAATGTCATTCATTTCCATTGTGTTGGTGTGGAAGCTGAAATTGAGACAGATAACTTTCTGTGTGGGCTGAAACCACTTTATTCAATGTAGGAGAACTGACTCTTTGACAATATATGGATGTTTTTTGTTTAATAGTATATACAGGTGTGTTATTGCTCCTGTTATTGACTTGTCTGTGTCCAGAGTAGGATGTCAGCCAGAGGAGGAAAGAAGAAGGCCACCAAGCTGTCCCGTTCAGCCAGGGCGGGGGTCATTTTCCCTGTGGGGAGGATGATGAGGTACCTGCGCACCGGCACGCACAAATACCGCATTGGCATGGGGACCGGTCTATCATGGGCAGCAGTTATCGAGACCTGGCAAGGTAGGGGGGGTGTCACATGATTCAGGGCTTCACAAATACAGGCAGTCAGTCTGTGACAGCATGTTTGTGTATGCTCATAATTCTAGCTTTGTGAAAAAATTAAAATAAAACATTACATATAATATATAAATTAATATCCATTGTTGTGAAATAAGAAATGAGCCCTTAAGCCGTAACACAAAGAATGACAGACTTCTATTTCTCTTTTATTTGCTGTGTCCACATCCGTGCTGCAGCATCCTCACAGGAGACGTTGGAAAGGTCTCTACTGTTGCTTTCTGTTCTTATATGCGGGGGGGGGGGGCATCCACAGTGGAAAGTGAACCAGTTGAAATCAGAAACAACACTGTCGTTTGATGGGTTTCTACACTTTGCTCTCTCTCCCCTCTAAGCTGAGATCTTGGAGCGGACAGGAAATGCAAGCCGCGGGACACAAGAAAGGCAGAATAACTCCTCGGCACATCAAGCTGGCGTCGGCCAACGACGAGGGAGCTCACCAGGTAACACATGCTCTACAGGTGTGACAAGCAGCTTTACATTTCTGCTAGTACAAAGTACACAAGTGGCTTATCATATGGACTCATCATGTAGCAAACAAACTTCTCTGACTCAATCACAATCATCTCTTGCCAAACAGAACTGTTCACGTGTTTTACAGTAAACAAAGTTCGACTCGAAGTCGGCAGAATCCATCGTGTGTTGCTCAATGATGAATTCCTCCATTGAAATCCTCAAGAAAGGTGAGGACTTGATGCAATGGAATTTGATGCACCAATTCAAACTTGCTGTACCCAGTAAGTCACAAATAAATAAATATATCTTTGAAAAAATTGTAAATCAAGTGGTCACAGCACACCATAACGACAACAACGTTTGCAAATGATATTCGTGTGTGAATCACTTCAGTGATTTAATGAACAATATTGTGGTATACAACTTATTAAAGGCGTATATAAAAAACATACTACAAACTCTTGTAACAGAGAGTTGATGCTCCTAACTTTGAGTCCCTGCTCTTAGTACAGCAGTAACAGCTCATCAGCCTTAAGCTGCAGACACAGCCAGAGCAGGCACTGTGCTTGGGGGAGGTATAACAATAATAACGATGTGAGCATCCACACTGATGAACACATCAGTGTGGATGCTCACATCGTTATCATCATAGTTACTGTTCCTGGGGTGGACAACCCTTTAAGTCAGGGGTCTCAAATTGTCCTCTCATAGGAGGGCTACTTCAATGTTCAAGTACTACAAGAAAATGCAATATTCTTACTGCTGTTTGCATTTTTTCCTTAAAAATGTGTTGTTCAGAGCCAAACAACAAATGAAGGCCCGAAACCAGCACTTTTCTTATCTTTGCGCCAAAGAAAAACTATTTTTAAAACAGAATTGCTTTTTTATATTAATTTTATATGAAGTTGCAGTATAATTGATATAAAACAACTAGTTAAAAAATAATAAAATTTTTCATCATATAGCGTATCGCGGGTCGGAGAGGGGGATGAAATCCCAGAAACGGCACGACAGTTTAAGACCCCTTTAAGTGTTTGTTTGGTCACTGGTTGGAAAGTGTCTCCACACCAGGAGTGACATTAAAAGTAGTGACACCCTCCACGCCATTCTCTTAAGTGAAGAAGACCTCAACATTCAAAGAATATCTCTCTCTGCCAATTGGGGCCTCCCGTGGATCAAGTTTCCCAGTGCACCTTTAACCCCATCTCCTCTGCCAGACGCACCAGTGGCTCTATCACTACAAACACTCACTGTACAGCTGAGCTGTGTTCAGACTCAGAACATTCAACTGCAGTGGAGAGATGTCTGTATGTGTAGTGGTGCAGCCTAAAGAAAAACTATTTGGGTTTGAGGAGTTGTAATAGTTATATTAAGGTACTGTCCTGATTGTGTTAGTGAAAGTGTTCTCCCTGTGTGCAAGGCATACTGTATGCATGGTGAGTGCGAAGGTTTCAGCTGACAGCAGATGGTGTGTATAGCAGCTATTATATCCCAACACTGCGGTTAACCTCTGCTGGGAACAGCCACTGCCATTTCACATCTGCTCACACAAGACAAGTCACCGTTTCTTAAAGAGAACATCTCGTTCATGAAGAAATAAGGTGTGTTATTGTATCACAAGCCTCTTAACGCTTCTCTCAATAGAGACTGAGGACTTTCTCCCAGCTTTTGGTGCTAAAAGTGGGTGGAAATTATTAGAGGGATTAAATTCCAGATGAAATGAAAAATATATATTTTTTTTTATCTATTAACCCTTTAAGATTACGTCCCAGTCATAATGTACCACTATTTAATGTATGCCAAATAAATGTACAAAAAATAAATGTCTTATTATTTTTGTATCAAAATCCAATAACTTTTTCTTCCTGTAAAACAAAATGTGACATCTGCTTATTAAAGCGTGAACCAACCGATTTCAACCATGTATATATATGATATCATGACATCCACCTGTCATTCAATCCTCAACTTTTAGCGACAGAGCTGGGATTCATTCGTTGGCAGTATAGCTTTCTGCCAGAGCGGAGTGTTTATGGGGTACAATAGCACAACTTTATCACTGATTTGAGTGAAACTTCATATTTTATGGATAAAATATTTTCTAGTCTTCCCACTAATGTCCACTGGCTGCTCTGCCTCAACTCACCACCAACTGCTGGCTGCCGTTCGCGTGCAATGGAACAAGGCTCAGCAGCTTCCCAGTGAACGTGGCCAGACCAGGAACAAACACAACCTTCGATACAAATGGAGGACAGTTTGATGACAGCATTACTGAGGAGATTCTAGGAGTTTCCAGGTGGACTTGCTAAAAGTAGCTAACTGCCGCCACTGGGAATGTTAGCTGCCGTTAGTAACTAATCCAAAGTCTTTAGGGCAGTGACGTGAAGTTGTGTTTTCAGAGGCAGAGCGGGTCGTCCACTAATCGAAAGGTTGTTGGTTCGATCCCCGGCTCCTCCCACCACATGTCGAAGTATCCTTGAGCAAGATACTGAACCCAGAATGCTCCCAATGCTGTGCATCGGTGTGTGAATGTGTATGAATGTGTTAGTTTCTGTCAGATGATCATGTGTGAATGTGTGTAAAGGTGAATTGGCATGTAGTGTAAAGCCGCATTGTGGTCGGAGACTAGAAAGCGCCTATACAAGGTACAGTCATTTACATTTACATCTCAGTTTGTTTACTGTGAGGAGAACGGGAGGAGAGATCATTTCCGGTGATCGTGTTCTTGAAGTAAGGGCGTACATTTGTTAGCGGCTGTTCTCACCACCGTTCAAGCAACTAAATTGTCATTTAGAAATCCCTGGATGATTGGTTGGCACTGGGATTTCTGATTGGTATTGCAAGACTATTTATAGGACAGTCAAACTCTTGTTTCTGAATTTTTTCTCCATCAGCTTCTGCGGGGGTGACCATATCAAATAGGGGTTCTGCCTCGGATGACACCCAGAGCTGTCCCCAAGAAGAGCGGGAGGTCGGGTGAAGATGGAACAGCAGGCGTCCGTCCCAGAGAAGCAGGAAGAACGCTCAAAGAGCAATAAACCCATCAAAATCCTTCAAAAAGGTTAAAGGCAAACGAGGTCGCCAAGCCAAAGGTCAGTCAAGCAGAATGGAAAGAATACACAGGAAGTTCATTAAGACAGTCTTCACTAATGAACACCACCACCACGTGAAAATTCTGAAGCTAGAGTTAACCGCAGACCTTATTTATCTTTAAGGAGTGCTAAAATGCTAACTCATTTGCAGGATTTTAGGACTCATTCCTGCAGCACTCTATAGTCAAGACCTCACAAGTCTCATGTCCTAAGCCAGCTCTGACACCAGTCAAATAATTTTTAAAAAAGTCAGAAACTGCGACCTTGAGATACAGATTATTATGCGCGTAAACAACTGGCTCCCAAGGGTTACAACTTTTACACATTAACGCGTTTTAACCTTTAATTACAATTAAATTCAAATTCTTGAAGTAAACAAGCCTACGGATCTGATGAAACGTCTGCCATTTTTGATCTTCTTATTCTGTCCTAATTTGATACTAAGCTCAATTACTTATCTACTTTGTCACTCTCTTGTGATGGAAGTGTGGTTTAAATAAACCCCTTTTATTTTTCATCTGGCCAAAGAGCACAGAGCACTGAGTCGTACCCAAACTCCGACAGTGAAGCATGGTCCTGGAGATGGATTCACCATCCCCCCTGTCAGCAAAGGCCCTGTTCCTTGGAACCAAAAAGGTAACGCCAGCGCCCGACGTGCAATATGTCCAGCTGCGAACTGTTTTGCGTGAAGCCTGAACGCTGGCCCGAGGCATCAGAACGAGTGATCCTTTTCCAAATACCGCGATACACCAAATTCATCACAATATCATCGGATCTATACACCATTTCCTTAATTTCTTCTTGTGGGATACAACAAACAAGCTGAACATTCAGCTCCAGGTGACAGGTTTATGATTTTGGAATGACCTGAAAGTCATGGGACGATATTCAGCGATTATCACGATACAGAAAATTGACCACTATAAATCAATGGTTCTACTCCAATACCCCGCACTACATTATCGTATATTATCCCATCCCCTAAACAGAACAAGTACATGTTAAGGTTTCCAATTACAACCTATACACTTCTCTAGTGGTGTAAAACATATTGAAAAATAATATCTATTGTTTAGTGTTATTCTATATTATTATTATTCATTTTATTTGAACAGGGAAAGTGCACCAATAAAACATGAAACATTAACCCCTGTCACTAGAATACCGCAGTGTCTGTCAAAAGAGGGCTATGATGTATCAGATATTGTGAAAACAAATGAATAAACAAAAAAAATTCAACTTTCCTTCTAACTCAAATTTTATGTAGATGATGTGTGTTTTTATATTGCAATATGTTGAAGAACTCTCTGTATTCGTGATACGTACGTCACTGCATCCAGATTCTAGCCAACACCACGCCATGATTTTTCTCACACCGTGTGTTGACTTTGTGAACCCACAGCTGTCACTAACAGAAGAGTGAATCAGCAAAATTCAGTACAATCAAGGTGGAGGGGATAATTAACCCAACAAGACCGCAGAAGATGGAATCGCAAAGACGGAGGGGCGTGAGGAAGGAGGCTTTCATCTTATTTCTCATTCACAATTTCAGGCCCCTCCCTCTACCCATCCTCCATCCTGTGCTCACCCACTTCGCTGCAATGGTCTTTAGGCAACGCCTGGAGAAAGCCGGGAGGCCGAGAGTTCCATGGAGGAGTCAAGGAGCTGCGGAAAGCACAGGCCTTTGAGGGTGGAATCAGGTACAGACTGACACGACAGAAACCTCATACAGGAGAAAGTGTGTCAGCTGTGCTGTTTGAGGCCTACGATTGAAGCAGATGTGCTACTAGTTCCCTGCATTTTAGAAGTCACGGTCACATAAAAAGCAGCAAACAAAAAACGGGAAAGGTAACACAAAGAACCTTTTAATTTAACCTTAAAAACATGGCAGCCATTTATCAGCTCATATTGCGTGAACAGAATATTTATTCTACGTATTCTAAATTGTTGTTGTTGATTTTTTAGGCTCAGCAATGATCTAAAATCCATTCTTTACATACTGTTGCAATCAGAATATTCAACCCCCTCACCTTCCAAAAATCACTTATAGTGAATTGGATAAAGGATAATGACAAAAAATGAGAAAAAAACTTTATTAAAGTTATTTTGACAACAGAAGTTGACTTCTACAAAAAAAATGAACTTTTTCAACACGTGCATGTGCAGATATATTCAACCCCCCCAGCTTCAGTACTTTGTGGAGCATCCTTTAGCTTTTATAACTCTACAAACGTTTCTTACAAACTCTTGATCGGAATCTTGCCATTCTTAACGTGCCAAAAGCCTTTAGCTCAATGATGTGATGTGCTTCTGTGCATGGCAACTGCCTCTTAAATCCCACAAAAGATTTTCAATCGGATTTATAATCTGGTGACTGAGAAGGCCACTCCAGGATGTTCCAGGAGTCTTTTTCTCAACAAGCTGGTTGACTTGGAGGTGTGCTTGGGTTAGGTATTGTATTGCTTGATTGCTAGTGTCCTTGCCGCAGTAAAAACAGTCACACAGGGTGCCGGTATTCCTAGTTGTTCTGACGTAAGTTGGCTAAGGGCCTTCTGAGGAAATGTTGGCTTTCTTCACCAGCCAGGCAGGTTTCCAGCTGTATTTCTCAAAAGTTTTAAAGTCCTTATAATGATGCCAATGGCATGTCCTTGAATATTACATTTTTTGGAAATCTTCTTATACAATAAGCCCTTCAGGTGTGATTTGAAATAATCTCCTCTCTCCCAGCTTTTTGAGGAAGCTCCTTTGTCTTTCCCAATGATTGCAGCTCAACCTTCAATACCTTGAGTAGCCCGCGAGTGGGGTTTCTATATGCCATCACAGCTGAAGCACATGAAAAAAGCATTATAGGAGACATCATTATAGAGTTCCCAAAGGCTTAATTATGTTTCAACTCCACTTTGGGTTGAATATTTCTGATTACAACTGTACTTTCTCAAGCTGAACAGGTGTTTACCAAAAGCATTTTACCTATGGTCGCTCCCTTGGTAGCTGAATGGTTACAGCACATGCGGCATGGCGACGCGTTCAGAACTGACCTTTGTTGCATGTCCCATCCCTTCCCACAGTTTTCTCTTTGTTCCTATCAAATGAAGGCAAATATGCCCCAAAAAGAGTATCTGTAAAAACAAAGAAACGACAGTAGATAATCTTCAGTGCTGCTTTGGGAAATGCATGTAGAGTGTTCATAGAACACTGTTAACTTCTAAGATGGATCAGGATACAGGAATGGGTTCAAGCTTTCCACTCAGTGTTTGTGTGTTTGCCTCCTGCAGTGGCAGTGAGCCAGGCCAGTGGGATGGCAGCCCGCTTCATCATCCACTGTAACGTCCCTCAGTGGGGTTCAGAGAAGTGTGAGGACCAGCTAGAGAAGACGGTGAAGAACTGCCTCTCAGCGGCAGAGGAGAAGAAGCTCAAGTCTGTGGCTTTCCCTTCACTTCCTGCCGGACGGTGAGTCCCCTTTGACACAGCGCTGTGTGCCGGTCAGTATTTATCCACTCAGAGCAGGTTCACAGTCTGATGGACAGACTCCTGGCTCATACTGAAATGATGTCTGTGAATCACTCAGCAGGGAAACAAAGGGTTAAACATGTGTGTCTTTTCTCAAATAAAGTCTTTGATGTGGTTGTCATGATAGCAGTCTTACTAAGTCTAACATTTCTGTGTCACTTTCAACCCAAGTGAATGCAGTCAGATTTAAGTAAAGAGCACAGCAGCAGAAGGTGGAACATGCAGACAGGTGTCTTGTTGGCCCAGTAAGAGCTCTGTAATAACAGTATCACATATTCAACTTCTCTTATGTACAGAGAAAATCAAATCAGCTTTGTAACTTATGAAACGTACACGGTTATTAAGTTATTGAGGAGAGTCTTCTCAGATCAAACTATTTCCCCCTCACACTCCTCACATTATTCATGCCAACTGATGAATATGATAAATGAACATCCAGTAAAGCACAAACATACAACATGTGAGCAAACAGGCATTAATGGCACTTTATAAACCAGCAGCACAATTCTCCAGTGAATGATGAAGCTGATGTGAGTGTATCAGTGGATTCACTGTAAGAAGTGGTGGTGAGTGTTCCTCACACTCACAGTGGTCATTAATCAAGACTTCAAGGGAAAAATATGCTTTGAAATCCATCAGTGAAGCAGCCTGAGAGACAACACAGAACACTTGTCTTCCTTTGTATCATTTAAAGCATACTATACTATGCATGTCCTAAATATAAGTGAGTCTGTGTGTGTGTGTGTGTGTGTATATATATGAGACCCTGCAGCCCTCTGCCTGTATTTTCCTACACAGGTTCTGAGATCAGGAAAAAACGTAATGACCAGGCTACATCGCTGTCTCTGTCTGTCTCCCTGTCTGTGTCACGCTTTAGATGTCCCTATGGTAGATAAAACTCAATAAATTGATCTCCAGGGTGTCTTTCTAGTGGATGACACATGATAGGGTGCTAATCGTAACCCTGCCTGAGCTGTTTCACCATAAATAATAAACTTTGCTGGCACCCTTTTTTTGTAAAATGTGTCACAGACATGGAAAAAATATAAATGTATTTGTTAAACTCAACACCTCCTGTATCTGTTTGAGATTAAAAGCTCTCTGGTGTTTCTGTGGACAGAATCCATTCCTATGTTAACAGGCTTTATTGTATTTTATGTATCAAAGGCAGATAGGGCTGGCAGCAGCAGCCATGTAGCTGACATGCTGTTGGTGTATACACCGCATGCGTGCCAGATGCAGCTGTTCAGTGCAGCAGCTGTCTGTACAGGTAGGCAGTGTGAACCAAGGGTGAGTCCGCCACTGGTGTGTCACTGAAGCACAATGAAGGTCTGCGTGTCAGTGTCTGAGAGGGCAGGCGGGATGAAGCTACACAAACCTTTTTAAGAACGTGGTTGAATGAAGAGGGAGGCTGTGTTCACACAGTCGATGTAAAGGGTAATATTAGTGGAATATTCATTTTCATTAGACATTTAAACAGCTCAGGATTATTGTCTTTTTGCTGTTTCAACCCTTCTAAACCTTCCATTTGCTAATATGGAGATCAGGCTGAATTAAATCCATGAAATGGGAAGACCTGTCTGATTGTGTGGACAACCTCAGACTCATCATTATATTATAGTTGCACAGTTTCACTATTTCGCCAACAAGCTCATGAAGCTGTGAAAAGCATTTCTCTTTAATGGTGGTGATAAGTGTAGATTCATATTTACAGTGACCTTTCACATCGTTATGGTTTGCCTTTAGCTGTGGCTCATCTGCATTAAAATCAACAGTTATGTATATGCTGCTCAGCACAGATTCATGTAACGAGCTCAGTCTCTCTCACAGGAACGGATTCCCGAAGCAAACGGCCGCCCAGCTCATCCTCAAGGCCATCTCCAACCATTTTGTGTCGTCCACCAGCTCCTCCCTGAAAAACATTTACTTTGTTCTGTTCGACAGTGAGAGCATCGGAATATACCTTCAGGAAATGGCCAAGCTGGACGCCAAGTGAGGATTCTGGTTTTAGGGTTTGTTTTTCTAACTGTTGTCCGTTGCAGCCGGTGTAGATAGGCGATGCGGCAGTAGGGGTTTTGATGTGGAATCTGTCTCGGTTAAAGAGGAAAAAAACAATATTTGTGAGTGGAGTGCTGTTCACGTTTCTGTTCCACTGTCCCTTCAACAGATTGCATTCTTTATAGATTAGATCATTTAAATACGTACAGTTTGCCATTATGGTTCCTTGTTTCAATGATGTTTTTACATTCCATGTACAAATATAACAGTTTTTTTCCTGCCCTCTGTAGTTTCTGATACAGTTAGTTTACTAAAAAAAACTGTGGTTCTCATTCTGCTTTGAAATAAAAACGGAGATGTTTTACACCAGAGATTCACTCACACTTTCAACACTTACATGTTTGTCTCATTTTTCAGGATATTGTTTTAAAATAATCTCAAATATTACAGTAAAAACACTGAATGTCAAGCAGACATCACTGATGAGCGCATTTGACAGCAGACTGGATACCAGCATTTGATGGTCAAGTTACAGATGATGTCTCAGCATTCCCACGCATCCTGGAAAGCCTGGAAATACAGATAGTAGCATTCCAGTCATGGAAACACCTGGAAATTGATTAAAGCTCCAGGAGCAAATATCCTGGAAATAATCTGTGTTGTCCTGGAATATTGTAATTGTGTTTTAGCCCTTCACTCAGATTACATAAACCTAGGTGAGTATTTTGTTTTAACTGTTGACTGTTGGTAGGATAAACTGCAGTAAACCCACTTCAAAGTGGGTTTACAAGACGGAAAAGCAGAAGGCAGAATATGTAGAGGCCAGTGGAAATACTGCACACGGTCATATGTACATGCATAAAGCTTATTATTGATACTAATTTACATTTGTTGTTGATAAACACATTGATGTTAATTTTACACTTTCATTTTTTAGATTACATTTCTGTAAAATAAAATAAATTATACTTGATTTGAACTGTTACTTAAGGGCTGTGGCCAAATTCATGTCAAGGTTAGAAGACAACAGCAGTAAAGTAGTCAATTTGCCAGAGACACAGTAGAAAAATCGGCAGTGGTGAGGACAGCCAACCTACAAACGCTGACCACCTACCTTTAATGAACCTCAGACACTTCACTGTGAACCCTGCATCGTTAAAAAAGGAGGAATAATACAGGGCTTATCAGTAAAATATCACTGGGAGCAAATGCTGTCCTGTATTGTCAAGAAATTCCTGAAAAATGATTTCTTCAAAAGAGTGCATATGTACAAAACATCCCAAGGCTAAAAGTAACCCCAAACTAGCGAGCCGAATTAGGAGAAACTCTTAAATGACCAGTGTGAAGGATTTAGCGGCATCTAGCTGTGAAGTTGCAATTGCCACTAACTGAACACTGCTCGCGTCTCTTTGTCTATTTGACGACCTGGGAATGATAACGGCAAAAGTCCCTATCTAGAGCCACTGTTTGATTTGTCCGTTTAGGGCTACTGTAGAAACATGGTCATTCAACATGGTGGACTCCATAAAAGAGCACCCGCTCTCTCTGTAGATAAAAACAGCTCATTCTAAGGTAACTAATGATTCTTATTTTCAGGTGATTATACACTAATGAAAACATAGCTATGAAAATGATATTCCATTTCTGACAATAGATCCTCTTAAATGTTACACACTGGACGGATAAGGTGTAAATGGTAATGGTATTAATAAATGGTCTTAGTCTTATATTTATCAGACTCAAACTATGTTCATCTATAACTACTTTCGGACTTCCCTTCTCTGTCTGTGGCTCTCAGCTCTTAGTCCATTGGTTCCTACTGGAGACATAAATCTTTAAAAATATAAATCACAAATACATTGTTTCATGGTTTAAAAAGGCTCCGTAATTTCCTAAAAGAGCCGGACACTGTAGTTACATGTCACCCAGTGCAGCAATGGCACTCAATGGCACACAGGAAGAAAGTAGTGTATCAGGCTTTGATACACACAGTACTTGTTAGTAGATAAATTCAGTGTTGGTTTGAATGTGCACAAGAGGGTTGTTGACAAGAAGAAAAACATAAATTGAATACATATGGATAACAGACCTTTAAAATGAGGTGCATCAGTCCTAACTCACAAAACATTTCAGTGCGGAAAGCAGCTCTGCAGTCTGAGAGCAGTCCTGAGTCAGTGCGACGTGTTCACTGTCACTCAGCTGCTTTAGGTAATGAGCCCCAGTGTTCTAAAAAGATACAATAATGACACCTTATAAGACATCAGTGTGTAACATTCAGGAGGATCTATGGTCAGAAATATAATATAATATTCATATGTATTCATTAGTTCATTCATTGTTTTCATTAGTGTTTAATCACCTGAAAATAAGAACGGTTGTGTTTTTGTTACCTTAGAATGAGCTGTTTCTATCTAAAGAGGGAGCGGGTCCTCTTCTGGCGGAGATTGCCATGTTTCTACAGTAGCCCAGAACAGACAAACCAGACACTGGCTGTAGATAGGGCCTTTTTTCACGTGTTTTATGGCCACTGTAGTTTCTCCAGAACAGAAGGGTGAGGCAAAGAGGTCGTAATCTGCTAATACACCACCAGATACCACTAAATCCTACACACTGGGCCTTTAAAATCCTTCCTTTAATTCATCATTATTAGAATATCGCTCAATTTGGCAAGATAATCTTAAAACCTATAGAAAGGCCCTCCGTAATGCCAGAGGAGCCTATTATTCAGCACTAATAGAAGAAAATAAGAACAACCCTAGGTTCCTCTTCAGCACTGTAGCCAGGCTGACAG